ATCCAGAGGTTCTTCGTTCCTTAAGTATAAAATATATGGAAGGAGTGATCAGTTGGTGTGGCACACTTCTGGTTTCACCTTCAAGGCTGCTTGGGAAGAGAAGAAATACAATATAGAAGAAAAAGGGGAGAACTGTGTAAAGGCTTGAATGAGATATTTAAATACTCATTCACAACTCTCATATTTATATACTAAAAAGAGCACATGTTAATATTACAATAAAGGAAACTAAATAAAATCATTGCATATTCTTAGGGCTGCAATCGAGCCGAGTCAAGCCGAGTAGTGGGCTGTTTGAGCTCGGCTCGATCTGCAGCAGGAGTGTTCGAGCTCGACTCGAACTCAAATCGAGCCTCAGCTTCATTGTTTGAACTCGGCTCAACTGTGTTCGCCAAAAACTCGAGCTCGGCTCAAAATTCGTTTATAATATATATATATATATGAAACGCACAAAACACACATACAACAACACATCAAGAAGAACCCTAGACATCAAAGTCTGAGATCCCAAAAAGTCTGTTATAAAATCTGAGATCCCAAAAGAAAGTAAGAACAAGGAAATTGGGAGTTTTCGGTAAGGAGTCAAAGGAGAGAAAGGTAAGAGCCCTAGACATCAGCACCGCACTTCGCATCAATCTTCTCTCAACAATACTCCGCTTTCGTCTGTAAGAGATATATATATCATGTGTGTGTGTGTGTGTATAGATATATATATAAGGAGAGAGAGAAAAGGAGAGAAGAGGGTTGAGTGGTGATGGACGAAGGCGGTGAAGCCACCAGTGGTAGATGGAAGGGATGCCGGATGTAGAAGAGAGGGTAGATGAGGGAGTGAGATCTTGGCGACCGTTCTTCGTTGATGGTTAGGGATCGTTGCCTCGTTGGTGGTCACTGGTCAATGATGAGAGAGAGAGAACAGATTGAGATGGAGGCTGAGATATCGTTGCCTCGTTGGTGGTCACTAGTCAATGATGAGAGAGAGAACAGATTGAGATGGAGGCGTATTCTGTCAACCCTAAACATAACATAAAAGGGTTTATAAACAAAGACAAGAAAGGTGTATTTGCATAATAACCACAAACTCTATATACAATTACAATATGACCCCAACATAAATATATATCTACATATAAATGTGTTACATACAATTAAAATCTGACCCCAACTTTTATATATATTATAATTGGGTATGTATATGTATGTGTGTGTGTGTATATATATATATATGTTATAATCGAGTATGTTCGCGAATGCATTATCAAGCTCAGTTCGTGAACGGTTCATGAACAAACGAGTCGAGCCTACCGATGTTCAGGCTCGGCTTTTTTGATGAATCGAGCCGAGTAATTCATGAGCCGAGCCCGAGCAGTTCGCGAACAGCTCGGCTCGTTTGCAGCCCTACATATTCTATGCCTAGACATATGCGTAAATAAAGGCAAATCCATTATTTGTGGCTATCATATCTCAGATAATATGGTAAGTCACATCCCATGATTTGCGCCTATCATATCTCGGCTAACACTCCCCCTCAAGTTGGTGCATGGATGTCTGAAACGCCCAACTTGGACAATGCATCCTTAAACACGGTCTTGCTAACACGTGCAAATCTGATTAGCGATGTTTTTCTGTCAAATGAAGTGCCGATCAACAAATCAAACTGTCTCCTCAGACCATAAACATTCAACAATGTCTCCTCAAACCATTCCCCTTTATACATATGTTTAAACAATGTAGATGAAAGAATCAACAATATCTCCTTAGACCATAAAAAAGCAACCACGTCTCAGACCATTTCCGAATGGGTGGTTTCGAACTTACAATGCCCTCATTGAGGTCGGACAACCCTGCCTGCGGACACCTCCAGGATGGGGGATGTCTCCTTAGACCATTCTTGAACGGGTGGTGCCAAACTTGCAATGCCCTCATTGCAGTGGGACCCCCCTTGCTCTGATACCAACAAGAAATACATTATAGAAGAAAAATGAGAGAATTGTGTAAAGGCTAGAATGAGATGTTTAACTACTCATTCACAACTCTCATATTTATATACTAAAAAGAGCACATGTTAATATTACAATAAAGGAAACTAAATAAAATCATTGCATATTCTATGCCTAGACATGTGCGTAAATAAAGGCAAATCCATTATTTGTGGCTATCATATCTCAGATAATATGGTAAGTCACATCCCATGATTTGCGCCTATCATATCTCGGCTAACAGGAAGCTTGTAGAGTGAAGAGACCAGAGGTATTCTGGTATAATTTATGCTGGAATGGAGGTAGGCCTAGATGGTCGATTCACACAACTCTGGTGTTACAACAGGCAATTATTACAAGTTCTTATTTACAGAAGAGAGGAATCTCATTGGCATCTAGATGTGTATTTTGTTTGAAGAATGAAGAGACTATTGATCATATTTTCTGTTGTTGTGATTACTCATGGCAAGTTTGGACTGGATGAGATTTGTAGTATCAATGTTCAAAGATTCATGTCCCTCCAAGAGTTGACAGTGTTTTTCTCCCAGAAGTTCAATGCAAGAAGCTGCAAAAACAAGTTGCTCAGGCTCTTATTTACTGCTGCTTTATACTTTCTTTGGATGGAGAGGAATGAGAGATTTCATAATTCTAAGCTAACAGATCCAGATAGATTAGTCAAATGTATCTTATGGGAAGTCTTGGATGTTTTGGTGTAAACCTTCAAGACATTCTTTGATTATGTTTTTCATTTGTCAAGGGGTCTGTCCTTGATTTTTCTTCTCTTTTTAGGAGTATGTTCCATTTGTAATGAGGGTTTGCCCTCATAGTCTCTTTGTACCATATTGTTTTATCTATAAAATTTCCTCCATTTAAGAAAAAAAAATATTAAAAAGGACATAATTTTTTTTGTAAATAACGATCCCTCAAACAGACAGCAACTTTAATGTCCTTCAACTGGCCCAAGTCTCTATGGCTAGCATCACCATTTTACAATGTCACATTCCTCTGATAATAATCTCCCAGCTTATTGTATTTGATTTACTAATGCTTTACTACTAAATTGGTTTGATGAAAGTAACGACATGAGATTGGGAACAGAGTGAGGGAGTGGGAGCTTAATGTTTAATCTCTCTCAGAGTGTCTTACTGTTTATATTAATCACGATAACATCCCTAGTAATTCTAAATAAGAACAAGCAAATTGTATCTTAAAGCATCTAAAGGGCACCCAATGTGGAAGATCTGTATTAATGCCTTAACCATAGCATTACTAGTTCCTAGATGTTGATTGGTGATCTAGATTATAGATTAATAAAAAAAGTACTGTATATTTGTTGAAGGTAATATCATAACATGGACCAGAAAAGAATGACGCCTGGTGGAAAGGTCAATTGCAGGGGCAAAATATGAGGCTATGGAAGATAAATCATATGAGATGATGTCTGAAATCTTCTTTGCAACAGATGGGGATTTTGGTATTGATGTTGCTTTGTAACTCTTCCTGAGAAATAGGATACAATACATAAACAACAATATGATGTTTAGTGAAAGGTGAAACCGTGAAAGACACTGAAGTGGATGCCATTATCATAGAATGTGGTGATAAGGGAACAGAAAGAAACATGGTTATCAAACCAGAATCAATTACAATGAGATAGATATATATGCTACAAGTAATATTATTTATGCTCATATTGGGCTCGCCTAGTTTGCTTCTGCTCAACTTTGCTTGACTTGTGGACAGCATTAGCAAGAGTTGGCCCTTTATATGCGTTGCATTGACTCAATTTTTTTTTTTTTTTTTTTACTCTCTCTCTCTCTTGTTTGTTTGACATCTACGTATACAAGTTCACATTTGGAGAGAAGAAAGGAAAGAATATATGCAAAGGCACTGATGGGGATGCCAGCGGCTAGGTATTTAACATGGATAAGTTGTTGAATATTGAACCTAAAACATAAGGTAAGAAGTGATTCAGTGCCTGAAATGTCTGATTAGGCAATAAAGAAAATGCATTCAAGATGTCCTTGTCAAACTAAATAATAAAACGCACATTATTGGAATGGAATCACTTGATTTTATCGTGATGGAAACAACTTGGTATTGAGGCATGAATTGTACAAGCATATTCTGACAAAACGCAAGATTCCCACATATTTTCATATATACTTAAAGTTGCATGATATAATCTTGACTCCATAGATTATCCAAGAACAAGATAACAAGAAAGGTAAAGTGCATAGCTATGAGTAAGATGCAAATAAAATCAACCTTGATTAATCCTTCTGCCAGTAATGGCAGTCTCATAGAGAACCTGTGGGAGACAACCAAGCCTATGCTCCCCTTCAGTCAATATTAAAAGTCATAATATTGAGCAAAGCCAAAATAAAAGGCTAAGTCTGTTCTTTAATTGTCTGGAAAAATAAAGGAGCTAAACTTATATCATACATTAAGGACTTTGGGTCTCCTTCAATTTGATAAAGACATAATCATACTTGACCAATATAGTAGCACAGTCATGAATGATTTCAATGGAATTAAAACAAAAAATAAAATAGAATACACTATTCATGAAGAAAAATTGTACTTACTGATTATTAATATAGTATATTATGTTGCAGCAAATTAGGCACTTGAACAAACTTTTCTGATAAAGGGTTTCCATGTATCTGAATAATTTTTCATTATTTTTTCAAACTCAACAATTTGTGCATGTCATAGAAAAAGACAGTTTCATTATGATGACTATGCTTCTAGTGATTACCCTAAAATCCATAATTGAAGTGACTCATGGCACCCTGCTTAACCTTATTTCTGTATCATGTAAATACTAGAAATCAATACCAAGGAATGCCCTCAAATATTATCCTTAGAAATTTATATGCTTTAGATATCTTTCAAGAGATGAAATTGCGTAAAACTGGAAAATTGATGATTATAAAGAAATAGTACTAGAGAGGAAGATTACTACGAATAATAACAATGAGAAGAATAACAATAATTAAAGATCTGGCAGTAACTCCTTACATAGTCAGGAGGCTTTTCAGGGACGGGAACCAAACTTCCAACTGAGACAGGTTAGTAAGACCTTGCACGATAAAAACAGGAATAAGGAACAAAATCGTAAGAAGTACGCATGCAACTATAACAACCAGCTTTGAAATCCATCTTTGCATAAATGATGAAGAAAAGAAAGGCCAGTAAACATCCTTTGGCTCAGGAACTTCCTCCATAATCCAGTGTGTGGGGTTGATGGATTGTGGTATGTGGGTAGCAATTGAAGCGCCATACCGAGACTTGAAGGACACAAAGGCAGCTCGGACTTCCTTTCATATTTAAAAAAGAAAAATGGGTAAGAAATGTATTATATATCAAATTGACATCTAAAAACTACCATATCCAGAAAGCACAAGTAAAAATCTCAATTTTTGTAAATTGTCAATCAGAACTGGAATTCAAGTTACACTCATGATTTTTTCCCAATTAACAATTAATAGTATGACATAACAACTAAAGAAGCACTGTGATGTGCATGACACTTTGCCAGGAAAAAAAAAAAAAAGCCATGTCATCATAGTAAAGCTACAACAATAAAGGAACAATGAAGGAGCAGCAGTTTTCAGTTCTCTTTTCTTCTTTTCATATTATGGTATCTTTAATTTTCAGTGATATGGCCATATCCTGCAATATTTTATGATTATGAGAACATACTAAATGAATGAAGAAAAGCTCAAATCACAATTGAGCTTTCACAGAATGATGCAAAAAACGCACACAGAGAATACACAAACAAATAGCTCTTCTAATCCTTCAAATAATTTTTTTTTTTTTTGGATCAGTAAGAATTGTATAAAAAACACTCAAAAGGGGAGCGTATCCCAAAGGAACAACAAAAAGCAAAAACCACTAAGCCTTCAAAGAGGCCAAAAAATCTACAATGTCCTCAATAGATCTATAATCTCTACCCAAAACCCAACAAAAAAGAGTGGAGACAATGGAGAATTTCAGAACAGAAATAGGTGACTCTTTTCCCTCAAAGTATCTCCTGTTTCTCTCAAGCCAAATGCACCACCAAATACAGAGAGGCGCAGCCCTCCATGCCTCTCGAATGTGAGCCCCCACAGAACAGCCTTTCCAAGCCTCAATCAAACCTCTAGAAGAGCCAGGCATGACCCACAGAAAACCAAACAGGCCAAGCATCAAATCCCAACATTCCTTGGCCAAAGGACAATGCAAAAGAAGGCAGTCCACTGACTCTTCATCCCAACGGCACATATAACACCAATTGAACACCACCTGATTCCTTCTTTTCAAATTATCCTGAGTCAAAATCTTTCCCAAAACAGAGGTCCAACCAAAAAAGGCCACCTTAAGAGAGGCCTTAGAACGCCAAACTACCTTCCATGGGAAAGGACCTTCAGGCTCTTGAGTGAGACACTGAAGAAAGACCGCACTTCAAAGCGACCCTGAGCATTGGGAGCCCAAATCCAAACATCAGAATCTCCGACCATAACACCCTACCAATACAACACCTCCAGAAGACGAATGGCATCGTCAACTAATCCTTCAAATAAATTTCAATCTTACCCAAATATTTCCGGCTTTAGGACCAATGTTTTTCTAGAAAAAAATTGTTCAATCCATTCCCTAACATCTTAAAACTTTTGAGGAAAGTGGTTGTACATCAGTATAATTGAAAGATACACAAAATAGTATACACTGATTTTTATTTTTTTTTTATAAGTAAAAATGAAATAGAAAGCGTTCAAAAGGGGAACACGTCCCAAGAGCTGTACAAAAACCAAAAAAAGAGAAAGGGGGAGGCCTATGGACCCAAAGAACCCAAAAAGTCCACGATTTAATCTAAAGATATACAATTTCTCCCCATAACCCAACTAAAAAGAGAACAAATAATAGAAAACTTCAACGCCCCAATGGAGAATGCCTCCCCATCAAAAGATCTTCTATTCCGCTCTTTCCAAAGACTCCACCAAACACAAAGGGTGGTCACCCTCCAATAATCGCGAGCATGAGCCCCCACCCTTTGGCCCCTCCAAACGTCAATCAAATCCCTTGAGGTTTGGGACATAACCCATTGGACGCCAAAAAGACCCAAAATAAGACTCCAGCAGTCATAAGGCATGGGACAATGCAAAAGAAGGTGATCCACAAACTCTCCGCCATTCTTACACAGACAACACCGATGTAGTTGTTATTTCGTTTATTTATCAAGGGTACTATTGTCTTCATGTCTACTTAATATATAATAGGTGAGAGGAGTGGACAAAACCCTAATCTGCGTGTCTCGCCTTTCACAGAATACTCCTCTCTCTTTCTCTCATCTTCTTCCTCTTCTTCTCTACTTCTACAAACCCTAACTTCTTCAACTTTAACTTGGTACTGTTTTTGGGAGTTTGGGGCTAAAATCTGTTGTAAAACCTTGTTTGGGTTCTTGGGCTGCAGGCTGTTGTTACTGTTTTGGTCAGATTGGGGCTGAAATCTGCTGTTAAATCTTGGAATCGGGTTGTTGGTGCTGCTATAAAACTGATATTAAAACCTATTTGCTTCTGAGTGCTTTGTGTGTTGATTCTGGACTTATACTCTGTTCAGCTGCTGGTTTTTTTTGTTTAAATATTGCCTATGGCTGAGACTAAGCCACAAACTATCAAGGATGATGATATGCCTAAGTCCATTACCTTGCAAAAATTGAACGGAGTTAATTATCTTTCTTGGGCTCATGCGGTTCAAGTTTTTCTACGTGGGCAAAGGAAATTGAAGTACTTTGACTGAAAATCCTCCCTCTGATGAGAAGCAAGTTGAAGATTGGGCGTGAGGATAGTGTTGTTATGGGATGGCTCTGGCACATTATCGAACCCGAGATTTCTAGTACAGTTGCATTTTGTGATTCTTCTAAGAAGATTTGGGACTCTATTGCATAGTCAATTTCACACCAAAGTAATGTTTCTCAAGTTTATGAGTTGTATGAGAAAAATTTTGCTACTAAGCAGTCTGGGAAACCATTGTCGGAATACTATAGTACCTTGAAAATTTAGTGGGATCAGTTACCACAACATCGACCATTTGGTACTGATTTAGAGCAGCAGAAGAGGCACTGGCAGCTATTTATGATTGCTTCATTGCTATCTAGTTTAGATACAGATCTTTGTGGCTTCAAAGATCAGATTCTCGCTAGCTGTCATCTTTGGGGCAAAGCTCCACTGTACCTCCCATAGAGTCTTCTGCATTAATCTTTAGCAGTGGAGGTCGTGGTGGTTCTCGTGGTAACCATGGTGGTTGTGGTTTTCGTGGTAGTTCCTGTGGTGGTGGTCGTTCTAATGGACGTGGTGCCAGAAAGTGTGATCATTGTGGTGGTACAAATCACACGGAACCATATTGTTGGGTGAAATATGGCAAACCACTCTCTAACCCTCCAGAACACGCAAACACACACAGCACAAAGCTTACCCCAACTACTGCCTATCTAGTTCATAAAGAATGTCAAAAGACAACATTATATAGGTCAGTCAAATATTAAAGTTCTGTGGTAAAACATAAAACACTAAATAGGATGTTTCAAATTAGTCAGTCTTGGATCCTAGCACTAGTGATCTCCTTAATGAGGCCTTTTTATGGAGGGTTTGGCATCATTACCTAGTGTCACAAATCTAAATATAATGCTCAAGGAATCACCCTTCAATCGCAAACACATAGTAGTTCACTAAATATGTGTATTAAGAATGTTGAAATTAAACGTTCAAATTAAATATGGTGATGATGAATAGATGTGAAACCTTATAATTGAAAAAGAAACGGCATGTTGTAAGCAACCTTTTCTCCTTGCTGGACAACGAGGAAAACCAACATTTGAATAGTTATTTAAGGGGATGCTGGATGAGTTAAATTCATATCATCTCTATTGAAGATTTAATAGAGGAATCAGTGGAGGAAAATCTTTCAGTAATTGATGTTGTTTCTATTGCAAAGCATAAAACGGAAGCGAAGAGATAAATAAAACAAGTAGAACACACAATTATCACGTGGTTCAGCCACTAGGGCCTACATCCACAGCACAAAGAGCCTAAAGGGCTACATCACTTTTATTATAATCTCTCAACTCATATAAAATACAATGGTGGAGGCTCTTTTATATAGGAGAAGAAATTATGAGAATGGAAAGAATTAGAAAATAGGAAACAATGAGGATTTTTCTCCACTGATTCCTATGGTAACATCAAATCTTCAATAATAGGAAACAACATCAATTACTGAAAGATTTTCCTCCATTAAATCTTCAATACTCCCCCTCAAGTTGGAGCATGAATGCCCAACTTGCCATTGAGATGACGAGTAACAATAAGTGTGAATGATGAAGAGAGAAGACTAAGAACAATCCTACCGAACACACCAATAGCCCAAACAAGTCAACAAAAAAACTGCTAGAGACACAACAAAGGCGAGGATAATGCTACTGAACACACTGGCAGCCCAAACAAGTCGATAAAAACTGCCGGAGACACGACAAAGACGAAGACAATACTACCGAACACACCGGCAGCCCAAACAAGTCAACAAAAAACTGTCGGAGACACGACAAAGGTGAGGACAATGCTACCGAACACACCGGCAGCCCAAACAAGTCCAATAAAAACTGCTGGAGACACGGCAAAGGCGAAGAACAATACTGCCAAAAAAACCGGCAGCCTAAACAAGTCACAAATAACACCAAGAAACCCTTAGCAACATTTCAGATGCCAAGGGAATACCCCAAAATAGGGGTCCGAACCTAGGAAGAGAAATTAAGCTCTTATAAATGGAAGCGAAGAAATAAATAAAACAAGTAAAACATACAATTATTACATGGTTCAGCCACTAGGGCCTATATCCACGGCACAAGGAGCCCAAAGGGCTACATCACTTTTTTTATAATCTCTCAACTCATATAAAATACAATGGTGGAGGTTCCTTTATATAGGAGAAGAAATTATGAGAATGGAAAGAATTAGAAAATAGGAAACAAGGAGGATTTTTCTCCATTGATTCCTCTAATAACACCAAATCTTCAATAATAGAAAACAACATCAATTACTGAAAGATTTTCCTCCACTGATTCCTCCATTAAATCTTCAATTGTTTCCTATTATTGAAGATTTTGTGTTACTAGAGAAATCAGTGGAGAAAAATTCTCCTTGTTTCCTATTTTTTAATTCTTTCCACTCGCATAATTTCTTCTCCTATATAAAAGAGCCTCCACCACTGTATTGTGGATGAATTGAGAGAGTATTATAAAAGTGATGTAGCCCTTTGGGCTCTTTGTGCCGTGGATGGAGGCCCTTAGCATCTAAAATGTTGCTAAGGGTTTCTCGGTGCTATTTGTGACTTGTTTGGGTTGCCGGTTTGTTTAGCACTAATGTTCTTCGCCTTTGCCGTGTCTCTGGTAGTTTTTATTGACTTGTTTGGGCTGCTGGTGCGTTTGGTAGCATTGTCTTCATCTTTGCCGTCTCTCCGACAGTTTTTTTCAACTTGTTTGGGCTGCCGGTGTGTTCAGTAGCATTGTCGCCCTTGCCGTGTTTCCGACAATTTTTTGTTGACTTGTGTTGGGCTGTCGGTGTGTTCAGTAGCATTGTTATTCGTCTTCTCTCTTCTCTCTTCATCATTCACACTTGTTGCTACTCGTCATCTCAACAGCAAGTTGGGCATTCATCCTCCAACTTGAGGGGGAGTATTGAAGATTTAATGGAGGAATCAGTGGAGGAAAATCTTTTTGTTTCATATTATTGAAGATTTGGTGTTACTAGAGAAATCAACGGCGAAAAATGCTCCGTGTTTCCTATTTTCTAATTCTTTCTGTTCTCATAATTTCTTCTCCTATATAAGGGAGCCTCCACCATTGTATTGTGGATGAATTGACAGAGTATTATAAAAGAGATGTAGCCCTTTGGGCTCTTTGTGCCGTGGATGTAAGCCCTAGTGGCTGAACCACGTAATATATGTGTGTTCTACTTGTTTTATTTATTTCTTTGCTTCCGTTTTATGCTTTACATAATCTTCAATAATCTCCTTGCTGATGACACTGAAATTTTAAAGAAAAGAGTTTAAGTTGTTTTACCTTTAATCTAAATTTTATTCGTCTCTTCAGGCAATTGGAGGTTAGATACTGACAGGTGGTAATGGTATCCCTTCCTTCAGTAACATGTATGCCTGGCTACTTCATGCTTTGAGTGGATCGTCATCCTCTTCTTCAATCATTGTGAGAACTGAAAAGATAACTCCACTTTAATCAGTTAGTCAGGTAATCAAAATTCTTCCCAAGGTCGTGGCACTAGAAATAGAGAGGCTCTACAAGATGTTATGGCAGTTTTTGTCGCCATAGGAATGTCTTTTGTGATGCTAGAGATCATGATGGAGGTCGTACAGAGGGACGTAGTCATGATCACAGGCAAATGTGCTCATTGTGGTCAAGAGAGTGGTATTGTAGATAAATGCTGACATAGTAGACAAACCATGGGCTACTCGGACCAATTGAGTGATGTTTTCCTTCGACACTAGTACTTTCATCAACAGAGGGTGACTACTGTTCCCAGTGTTCCAACAAGTGCCGTCCTAGCGGTTTATGACCATCCAAGTAATGTTGCTTATTTAGTATCTTATAACTTGTTCTTTTGGGCCATTGACTCAGGAGCTTCTGCTCACATGCTTGTAAGGCCCCTGAGTTCTATTGATTGAATACTTCTTCTTTTTCTAAGCCTTCCATCGTGCTAGCTTTTGGTCATTTATATAATATACCTGGTAGTAATTCTGAATCACATCTCAATCCAACATCAGTGCATTGCATCCCTCAGTGTTCTTTTCAAATGTCTAAAGCTTTTAACTGCTCTATAACATTCTATCCCTCCTTGTGCCTTTCAGGGCCTTGAAACATGGGAGACACTTGTTAGAGGTTGTAAGGAGGATGGCATTTACCATCTGTTATTATTTCACAAATTTCACATCAATCAGTATTGATTGAGTAAAGAGAAGCAATCCTAGTCAAGGTTTTCTTATTACAACAAAAGAATAGGTAACCCACTAATTTAGTGGGGAAAAGTTGGGTAACACACTAAAACCAACCTAGTTCAATCAACTTCAGATAGCCTTGTGAGTGAAGGTTTCTTTTTTCCATCCAAGGAAAGAGGTCAAAAATAGAGAAATACTGACAATCAGAAGATATGAAGCTGCAAATCTCATCTTGTCAAAAGAATGGTCAACAAAGTACTGTTTTACAGTACTTATATATCCAAGATGAGAATTCACTGGAAATAGGATCTGTATAATTTGGGACAAACAAATACCACTGCCATTGCGTCACCACCGGCATCATCACCTTTGTGCCAACCCCAGCACCAGTTGCAGCAGCACCAACACATATACCCCTCTATTATTTAGTTTTTTCGTTTCCCTTGTAATAAATTTCTAATGGGACCTCTACATACATCTGGGTGCATAAAGCTTGAATTCTGAAGCATGAGTAGTGAGCAATACCCAAATTACAAACCACCAAATGTATTCAAAACCAATGCATCTTAAAACCATATTCGAATCAACATTCAACAAATCCTAATATATGCATACACATCGTTATTGATAAAACTACTCACGTAATATACATGCAATACGACTTTAAGTTAACTTCTGAAAGGAAAAAAAAAATACGACTTTAAAGTTAATATAAAGAATATAAAAAGTCAGTAATGTAGAAGTGTATCCACATGGAAAATTAGCATCCGCAAAGAAACAAATCAATTTCATTTATAGCAGTTAATGGTACGAAGCTATTGTTGGAGGTGATCAAATTAGAATCATAATATTCAAATTCACCAATTACATTTTTAACAGTACAACACAAACTTCTTTAAATATTGATGATACATTTCACAGGATGCATATTGATGCATATTTTCATTCATATCATGTGTAAATATCAGTCAAGTACAGATTATGCATTCATGCACACAAAATGTACATATGTATCTAGGCACCCAATGAATTGCTGGAAAAAGACAAGATAATAGTTAAGGACATACTTCCCCTGCAAATGAAACCTCCGATTGCTCCAATCTCACATTCTCCTCTAAATCTTCTAACTTCTTTTCATAGTGCTCTACAAGATCAATCTTGCGTTTAGACAGTCCACAACAGCCATTGTGCTTAAACTGCGGTAGAGTTGGTTCTGTTTGTAACCGGACGAGCCTTCTATACGATTTCTTTGCATCATTCTAGACAAGGACATGAAACAGTTGTAAAACATCAAGGCATAGGTAATCCAAGAGAGTGAATCATATATACAAGTGAGATACATTGCACACCCTTTAATTATTGAGTGAAGTGAATGAAAACCTAGAATATCTACATTATTATACAACAGAAGCTCAATTTTCATGCAGCAGATCCTTTGATTCTTGAGGGGAGGAAAAATCTAAAATTTTCGCATGTCTTATATCTGATTTTTGTGATTCTAAGATTTTCTGATAAGGATAATGTTAATCTCAGAAATGTCCAATTTTATGATTTTTAACGTATCTTCTTGGTAATTCAAGGACTAAATCCAATTCTTTAAACCAGGAACCTTAGATAACTTGAATCCATAAGGAAGTTCATGCAGACTTCTTCCTGCGAATCCCCATATTGCTGGTGGTGGTTGTAATATAATTGAGTGTACACCTGAAGCACAAAATTCACCTTGTAATCTATCAACCCATAAGCTGTGTACTTCACAATCTAGGCCATTTTAACCCTACAGGCTGTGTCAAGATTTTTTGTTTATCTTTAAGAAGAGTGACTGGAACATCTTTGAAATCACTTCAAATCCAGAAATTGAGTAGCCTAAACCTTCGAAATCCAATTGGAGTGGTGGATCAACTAATGTGCACATTCCACTTACCACTATTTCTCCCATCTTTCAATGCCTTCCGCCCATGACTGCCAAGTACCTGAAGAAGTGCCTACCCGCTCAAACCTGACAAGGGAGAGGAGAATAGTACAGCCTCGAGGCAAACAGCTCCTTTCTAAACTCAGGGAAGAACACCTAGCCCAGCTTTCTTTCCAACCCATTATTAAGCTAATAGCTGCCAGATTTTCAATAAGTCAGGCTATCCCTTCAAGAGATCCAGTTTTCCTTTTACGGGTCAATAAGTTATGGGGGATTCTGTTGGGTAGAAGCCCGAAATATCTTTTTTAAGATCTTATCATTTTTTTTTTTTCACTTGTAAGATGGTAATGAGAAGATTAAAAACGAAGCCCATTTGAAATCCCACTATAGTGATGCCAATAAAAACAGAAAATGAGAGACCCAGAGTAATGAGAAAATGACTTGTAACTGTGAAGCTACAAGGTATCATACACTGGGTATTATGAAATAACGAAAAATTTTGTAACTCTTTTCTTTCTCTTTTGTTTAAGAGTTTCAGCAACTCCATTTCAATGTGCCATCAATATTAAGTTAGGGAGTTAGACATAATAAGCATGAAGCTGGTGGAGTTCGAGGCGAGGATAGAGAAGGAGTCTCTTCAATTAAAATCTCTCCTTGAAGGGAGGATTGGATTAGATGAAAATTTGGCAAAAAACAGAAGGAAGGTCACATGCATAAAGACATGTTTTGAGGACATGAATATGATGAATATTTGCTACTTTTTTCTAGATAGAGCACACCTGAAAAGGATCCAAGAGTCCTGAGGAATACTTGGATTGATTAGGGTGCTGGGTATTGAATGTAGCACACATGCAAGACCAAATAATTCAAGAGGAACCGGAAAGGAGAGTATGAGGGTAAAGAGTTCTGAACTGTCATGTACCAGCATCCTAGCGGTCAGGTAGGACGTGGTGATTTTTCTTGGTATGCAAATGAACCTCATCAATAATAAAGCTTTACATAATTTTCCTATCATAATTAAATTTATCTCATAAAGCTAAAATATCTTGTCACACTCATGGGCTCTTCACCTGTAACAACCAGTAAGTTACCTAACATTATATAGAAGGGGGCCTAAGTCTGTACATTTCACATGCCATTCTGCAGGATATGATCCATCTTCAGACCAGGATGTGTTTACCACATGCATGGTAAGCATAAAAGAACCAGCAATTTAAAAAAGACGCCTAATTTTCCTCTAGGCCATGCCATTTTGTTCTGGAAAACTAATATAAGTATACTGATGGCTCTGACATTTGGCAATATGTTTTTGGCAAACAGAGATGTCATACTTATGCCTACTTATCAAAAAAAAAGAGATGTCATACTTATGCCTGTTGTCAGAACAAGAACAGAATGGATGTATTAATTCGGGTATGGGCTAAATCATAAAGGGTCCTAAAAAGGAGATGTGAGCCCACTATTAATTTCCTTGTCACATCTTGATTATATTTCCATTCTGTTAGACACGGTCAAGACATATGACATAGTACATGGTTAGATTTCAAAATGCGTAGCTTTTTTAAACAGATACCTCCTTGCTTGATCAAAAGGAAACAGAAAATTTGCTAAACTTGAAATGACTTGCCATAATCAAGTACTACTTGCTGAGTCACATCAAAATAGTAAGCAAGACTATAAAATTTTGAAGGATTTATCAACTAAACTTATCACCATTGAACGTAGACGTGACAACAGAATAGCAACTAAGAGTTTCAACAAAGAAAAGGAAGAAGAAGAAGAAATAAAGACCAAAAAAAAACTTACAATAAGATCTCGAAGTTTGTTTGTTCGACGAACCACCACATGGGATAAATATGTAGAAGGATGATATTCCGTGAAAAAGCTCTCAACACTGTTGCTGACACTGCTCCCAGTAGAAACAGGGATACTACGAACTAAAGTGGTGAACTGATGGGGCTGAGGTTTGGATGAATAGAAATAAGCCATCCTCTTAGCAGATATGTAATTGTATTCCTGCAGAAATATATATAGTATTCCGCATGAATCAACTCATGTACAACTCATATCCCCCATAGATGCCATCACTCAAATATCCTAGTATAACTTTTGAAAAAAAATTACATCTTTACTATCAAGTGGAGAAGCTCCTGAAGATAGATTCCTTACCAAAAAACTATAATTTACTACCAGGACATGGATACAACAAATTGTTCGAATTGGAAAATAGAATCATAATTTTATATTTAATAGGATTGGTGGGAGTCAAATCTTGTAAAAAAATAAGGTGTCGTAGAGCAATTCAATCATGTTAAGAAATGTTCAAGACATCAGCAACTACAGTTGTGCAAAGGTATGACTTACATAATAAAGAAGATAACAAACAAAGATAGTGACGATATATACAGCACAGAAGTGTATCCATAACCTGCCACAGAGATCAAAAGCTTATGGTGAGATTTTTGTCACACTTCGCTTGCCTACACAGTACAAGGATATTCCATCTGCAACACAAATATTCATTGATTTCTTAGAATTCATATAATGATAAAAGAAAATCTTTTACTCTTTGTTAACAACCATCTACTCCAAAAGCTTAAGCTATTAGAGAGGGTGTAAGGTTAATATTGAAATCCTTCAACACGCCCCCTCACGTGTGGCATTCTTTTGGTCTAACACGTGTTTCAATTTTAATTATCAGGGTGAAGACGAGGTTTGAACACAGGACCTTGCCTGCTCTAATACCATGTTAACAACTATCTAGGGCAAAAGCTTAAACTAATAGAGAGGGTGTAATGTTAATATTTAAATCCTCCAATAATATTAAATCAGACTCTCTCACTAACTTTTCTCAAAGGCACTGATAAATCACTTAATTTGAAAACTTATAATGTTGCAAGGTTTTTGAGTAGATCCACCAACAATCAAATAGATAGTTTTCCGACTGGGGATTATCAACTGGAAATTTCTTTACCAAATCAAAGATGCCTAAAATTTCACTGGACCAATCAAAATAAAGCTCAGATGAATTGAATCAATTTCAGTGCACAAATGCCTAGTTTGGATTGAAAATTACAAGTAATACTCTAATGTAACTGGCAAGAAGAATCTTCAAACAAAGCAAGTCCCAAATACTAAAATCGATGCACCTTAATATCACACATTTGATTAGAGTAAACTTCATCATATAAATAATACCTTAATATCACACGTTTAATTAGAGAAAACTTTATCATTTGAATAATAATAATAATATCTTAAAAAGAAGAATCTTGCAGGTCCTGTAATGGGTTGGTGCCAGTGAGAGCAAAGCATATGGAAGAAGTAAAAAGTTGTAGCAGTAATGTAGTTGTGCAGTTTAGTTAACATTCTAATTCATTCAAAGCGGAGACTTATCATGGCTTTATCATGTATGAGGCTCTGAGCACAGTTATCTTATCCTTTTTGGATCATCAACAATAGTGTCAAAACAGGGGGGCTAAGCAATTTGCCGAAGCTTTTGGATGGAGAAATACATTTGTAGGATAGCATTCTGCCTTAGAGGGAAGCACCTGCATGAGCAGTGATGGACGAAGGAAGCGAAAATAAATATGGATATGCAAATATACTTTCAGGCCTACAAAGAATTTCCAGCATTCTAATACAATGCTTCCAGTCAAATTTCAACATGCAGCTGGATGTCCTATATAGCTATCAAGTCTGCAAAACTGTTGTCTCTGACTTTCGGAAAACCTGAATCCAGTCAAGCAATGACTTAAGACTGCTTGAGCCTTGAACAAATCAAGATTCACGTACTATAAATTGTTAATGGAATTGAAGTACATTAACTCATTCCTCCCCTTCTATTATAAACAAAGAATACCGATGGACCACAGAAAACAAGTACTTGATAATTTAGACAACTTATTGAAATGCAATACTTTTTATTTTCTTTTTTTTCATAATTATTGAAATGCAATACTAGAATAGCTTGACAAGCAACTAGACAGTTGTTATACAGAAAACATTCTCGAAGACCAACTTGAACTTCATCACATAAAAAGAGCTCAAAGTGAGGTTCCATATATAGTGGTCGGTAACCTCAGGTTCGTGTCTATACCACTGGAATTTTTCGGACTCTATCAATGATGGAAATAGATTCGAGACAAAAAGGATTACCCAAGAGTAATTTTCCCTAAGAAGAACATAGTTTCTAAAATCTGAGACTCGACTTTATTTTATGATCAACAAATAAAACAGGAAACAACAAAACATACTCGTACAAGTTAATTTTAACCCAGAGTGCCTTAACATACATACTCGAGTAACATGGGGACAAAGCACCTGGTCAGGTAGGGCAGAATGTAGTTGAATATTTTAAATAAAATTATCTCTATGTTCAGCTTCATTACAAACAAATGTTAAACTAATAGTAACCTTTTCAAAAGACAAGATAATGATCACCTTTTTGAGCCATTGTTTACATTTGAAATGCTAAATACGTCCAAAGAATCATTTGTCAAATTAGAAAAGTCAAATTCCTGAAGCTGGTTCCCCGAGCAGTTGACAGGAAGAAGAACAAACACTCCAATAATCCCAGCAACACAAAATACTCTCAAGCTGCATAATAGAAAAAGAAAGAAGTTGCATGAAGGGGAGTTATAAGAAAGAAATATATACCTGAAAATATCAAACCAGAACATGAGAAATAATACAATAGCAAAAGCACAAGCAAAAACAACAGTAAATATTGTCTTGTGATGCAGAGTAAAAGAAAATAAATAGAGGAGACCAAGGTGGTAGTGGTGGTTAATTCACATTCAGTAGCCCAATATCATTGATATTGACCTGACTCTGCGAACCAATAAGATACTAGTGCCTTGTGTTCTATAACTGAGCAAGTAGGAGGCAAGGGATTTCCTACCTATGCACCTAATTGGTGAATATGCAATTGTCTGGATGTGAAAAGCAACACACCAACAGTATTAAATTGTTTTACTGTTTTGTTGCTCAATAACTTCTTATCGGTTATAAGCACTTCATTCAATAATGAAGAAGGAAGAAGGAAGCATAGCCCACAACAGCCCCCACTAAGTTAATTTCATCTTTTACTTTTCTTATGGTATTCTGCAATTCTCACCCAACTTTCCTCTTTAAATCATTCTTTTGTGCCCCCTACCCTCTAATGGTCTCTCCCCCAAATCCCTTGTAAGCATGCATATGTATAACAAACAACCAACATGCCAATATTTAAGAGAGATCCAGGCACATGCAGGGAGATTTGTTATTTTTGTTTTAGTATAACTTTAGACACTCCAGTTTGCCTTATTACCCACTAAAAATTTCAACCAAACCATATGATTCCAAGACCACAAGGAGTAAAAAGCACAATCGAAACATAATCACCCAAAAATAGGCATTAAAATCTCAAAATCCAAAATTTTAAAAACTATTTCCAGACTGTACTTCTCAATGCACTCTGGCCCTCCACTCAAGACATTTACCCAAGGTTGGCCCTAAGCTTAGTAAAAAGTCCCTGAATTAAGAATAAACAGTAGACTCCCCAATTTTCAACTTTGACTTCAATGTTCATACCTCTAATGATTTTAAAGTCAAAAATAAATTTTAAAATTGAATTCAGCAGATTGAAATTTAGGGGGTAGCATTCAATTTAACGTGGAACGCCCAAATCGACATGAAAGTCAAAATTCGTAAAGCTAAAAGCTAACATTCATACTTGCCAAATTTCAGCCCCCGAAAGGTGACAAAAATTGCAAATTTGAAAATAATTTTTCCGGGGCATTGTGAGTATCATGTAGAATTTTTTTTTTTTTTTTTTTTTTTTTCCCGAATTGGTACTCACACACACGTCTCCACTGAGGCTTGAACCCCTGACCTCCCTTTGGGAAGTAAGGGCCTGATACCGCTAGGCCACTGGCCTGTTGATCAAGAATTTATTTTGAGAAACTCATGCCATTTAAAGCGGAAAAATAAAAACAGTTTAAGGAAACAGAATTTTATTCTTCTGAAGAAGAGATAACTTTTTATTCATTTATGATTTAATTTTTAAAAATATTTTTTTTGAATTCAAACTGGTGAGTGTTTTCTTATGTACATGTTTTATCTTAAGTAAATGAAGAATAAATTATAATAGTGTAAAACAAGGGCATATTTTTCAGGTAAATAAGCACAGGAATAAGCAAAAGCACAAAAGACCAAACAAGGACTTATAAAGAATATCAACACGTGCCAAGACACCAGGGCAGGGGCTTCACGGAGGATGCAAAGCACATTGCCACCAGGCTAGCGTCGACTGTTGAGTGCAAATCCAATAGCAAAGTCAAAACAGTGGCAGTGGCAGAAAGTGATGACATAGTCCTATGCCAGGAACACCTGAGTGACAACCAAACTGCCCTTGGCTACACGCCACCCTCAACTTAGCGCCACAAAGAATTTTAGCAACACTGCCTTCCTATTAGCGGCACCACAAAAGCAAAAAGTCAAAAATGCATAAATGGGTGCCGCCTTGATCCAAGCAGGATCGATAATGTTGTTAGTGTCACCTCCCAAACCAACAACGACACAGAGTCTACAGCCAATGCCATCCAAACACGTTACCACAATCAGTCAAAAGCCCAATACAACCCCCAAAACACCAAATTTCCCATTTTTACCCCTACAATTCTTTTTGCACTTGTAAATGCACCCACCCTCCTCCATTTAACACACACCAAGTGGGAGAGAGAGAGAGAGAAATAAAGAAAGAAGAGGGATTCCATCCTTCTTCTAGGTGGTTTCTCATATCTTTCTACATCAACATGCTTTCCAATTCTTGCTGTCCATTACTTAAAGCCCTACTTTGGGTTTTCAAGGTGCAGTCTGGAGTTAGAAATGGGGTGACTAGTTTAAGACTAATGTCTTACAAAGTGCATTTTTCGTAAGATAGCCCCAGTGCATTTTTCGTAAGATAGCCCCAGAATGCTAGACTGTTTTCCACGATTTCTGTTATTATCCTCTGCATATGACATATCACACTAGCATTCTCTACTTCTACTCCTATCTCGGGAACATTATTTTTCAATCTTTCCATGTCTGCTAAATCCAAATTTAGGCTATCGTGGTGCAGTTCATGGTAGTTTAAACGTTGACCAATGATAATGCTTCTTCATCATGTAAAAGTTCCTCATCAAATCACCTCTTTAATTACGAAAGAAGGCAATTGGATGCCATGGGGGTTTTTGTTTGTTGGCTCCTGTGTACAGCTTCAGTTATATTCTTTGATATGGATTCCTCAATCCTCTCTTCTTTGTTCCTTCTTTCTATTTTTCCTATTTAACAAATCGGGGTTTATTATTCCAGAGAGATACAGAGATAATAAAACAAAACCTTAGAAGTGAGCTCCTCCTTCCTTGCAGGATATAAAATTGAACTTGACAGGTTCTACTAGATTGTTTCTCTTCTTTTCTTTTCTTTTTTTAATTTAATGGAACTATGACCGTAATTAAATATCAACTGGTGAGGATTCTTGCTCCCTTAATTAGGCTTCAAAAACACAAATCAAGTCAGACCAGTAGGCGCCAGTGAGAAAAGGAAGATTGGTTTGTGTAGAAGGTAAGAGACAAAGCGGTCGATCAAAACTGACACGGAACGAAGTAATAAGAAAATATTTTAAATTTTTCAATCCAATAGGAGAAATGGATTATGATAGAAAAGAGTGGAAAAAGTGAATCGTTGTCGACCCCATTTAAAGTTGTTTTCTTATCCAACAATAAAACAAACCTTTTTGTAATTTTCTTGGGAGGTCTTTCTGGAGAAGTTAAAAACCTTCTGAAGAGAGGATCGAAATTACCTGAAGATGATAAGGCGCATGAATACCACAGCATCCAAGCCTGAAGATGAAAGTAGTTCCTCTTCGGAAGGTCGCCATGCCGACCTCACCCAACCAGGATTTGGCAATAGCCTTTCAAGGTTAAAACTATTTCTTTGCTGTGACTTCCCATCAGCAAGCAAGCGTGGTGCATAAACATCAAAATTACTTGGTTGTCTCCTCAAAACAGAATACAATATGAAAAACATAACACAAAGGCCAAAATTTATTCCAACAGATGTTATAAGGGCAGAAACAATCATTTTAAAAAAAGAATGTCAGGACCTTTGTAGGGATAACTTATCAAATCTTCACAACCAACAACTCAACTGCACGAAGTAATAAAAAATAATCAATCATACCGAGTAAAATGCACTTCGCGTGAATTACAAAGAAAATAAAATGCCCAAAATATATGAATTGCAATATTAGTAAAACTAGAAAAATATGGGGATATAACGAATCAACCGATTAATAGATGGCAAAGAGTGAACACGTTTATAACTTTGCCTTGATTACTCAAAGAAAAGAGAGTTTTGAGATTATGTCACTCATACAATTAAAGCAAAATGGGTTAAGTGGAATAGCGCTTTAGCATATTGGACGAGCAATGTATATTTATAAAGCTAAAAGAATTTTTTTATAAAATAGTTATAAGCAGACCATCTATGCTTTATGAGACTGGAATGCTGTGCAGCTAAAAGCATCATGTAGCGGCTATTGGGATGGATATGTGACGAGACAAGAAAGAATAAAATTAGAAATGAATGCATTCTAAAAATGATGAATACAATTATTGGAGATAAAATAAGAGAAAATTGACTATGATGGTTTGGCGAAAAGTTTGAAAGACCAACAATTGTACTACTAAGAAAGAGTGACATGATCCACATTGAGGTTAGTTAAAGGAAAGTAAATATCAAAATCAATATGGGCTGATATAGTGATATAGTAAGGAAATACATGGCAGCGTATGACTAACTGAAATTATGGTCCCACGCAGAGCTCGATGGCAATATAATATTAAGAGAGGTACTATCATTGTTAACTGTTGCTGCCTTTGTAAAACTGATGGTGAGTCCGTGGACCATCTCCTTATGCACTGTCCTGTTGCAACTGATTGCTGGAATCTCATATTCGGCATTTTTGGTGTTCAGTGGGTAATGCCTAAGCACTCTTTCCAAATTATTAATGCTTGGAGAAGATGCACTGTTTCTGGTCATGCTCGTGATTTTTGGAGGATCGCCCCACACTGTGTTTGGTGGTGTATTTGGAGAGAGAGAAATAACAGACACTTTGAAGGGAAGGAATCGTCTTTTGCAAACCTTAAGTCTCTTATTCTACGCTCTCTTTTCTGTTATGTTAGAGGCAGCGTTTGCTCCTCGATTGATGAATTCTTTGTTCTATTGGACTCTGTTGGTCCGTAGGTTTGGCTTCTGCTTTTCGTTTTTCTGTATTAGGGACGCGTTTCCCTTTTGAACGTTTTTCTAATATATCTTTACTTATCAAAAAAAATAACATTAACTTCATAGATAAGAAATAGTTGGAATAAGGCTTTTGTGAGTAGAATAGGTTTGAGTTTAAGCACAAGAATGTGCAATAAATCTACTGGTTTTACTCATCATTTTGACTTTTTGAACCTGTCGATAGAGACAGGAAGAGGAGGGTAAAGGAGAAGAAGAAAAAGGAATGTGGTGCATCATCTCCAAAACTGTACTTTCTCTTATCACTTACTGAAGGGAAATCAAGATGAAAAAACAATGCTTAATCTTTTGTTCAGTGCTGGTCCAATCCCAGACATGTGGCGGAGATGGACTCGTGAAGAAGCAGTAGCACCCATGGTTCTTTGGAAAAGTTGGTATAAGAGGAAATGGCTAAGGCAAAAAATGGATGAAGCAGCTACAAGTCAAAATTACCACTCCACAACAGCAGTTGATAACAAACATAAAGTAAGAAACAAAGGCTAAGATTCTCAAATATGGAGAGAATTCATTAAGAGAGTGGTAGGAGAACAAAATGACAAGCAGAAAGTATTCTGTAACTCATTGCTTGGTCTCAATTTAATAGAAGGCAAGAGATCAATAGCGAATATTAAAAACCTGAACATAAGGTGAGCAAGGCTGTGCTATAGGCTCCCCTACCATGTGTGATTCTAGTGTTGCAAAAGATTGTCTAAAATTGTTAAGATTCCTAAATATTAAAAACCTGAACATAAAGTGAGCAAGGCTGTGCAATAGGCTCCCCTACCATGTGTGATTCTAGTGTTTCAAAAGATTGTCTAAAATTGTTAAGATTCCTAAATACTCTGGAATTATGGAGGAATCTCATAAGTCAACAATGCATAGTTAGTAGACCAATTGATCACTACGCTATTAAGGCCAAACTTGGCTGCTTCAGCATTTAAAAGTGATGTAGGTATTCTAGGCAGAGATAAGACATAAATATGAGGATCTAAATTGCTATAATGAAACTTAATAAAGTTACAATGAAACTTAATAAAATTATAGGAAGCAAAATTTGAAGAACTATTCAGTCCCAATCCACCAATATGAGAATCAAAATCCAGAAAGACACCTATTTAATATGACTAGGTAGCTCGAAAACTGAAAATCAAGATTAGGCTGATTAGCCATGAAAATAATGAAGTTGGGGGATCATAGCAGTGAAGTTGACTTCAATTACTTGAAACAATTTACAAAAGTTTAAAACATGCAAATCCCAGTAGAGCCATGATACCCATTGTTGCCCAAGTTGAACTTGAGCATTGACCAAGTTGCACTTGGCTTGAAACCTTGGAGTTAAACAGTCATTTTAATAACACACAACCAACCCATTTTTTTTATTTTTTTTTTTTTTGTGGGTAAAACATAACCAACCCACTTTCAATTAACATGCTTTAAATCTAAAGAATTTCCAAACACCCCACTTTCAATTATCATTCTTCTAAATTTAAAGAATTCCAAGTTCAGAGCTTTTACAAGTATTCACAACATTTAACAAACAGGCTATAAAATGATACTAATACAAACCCTAGAACAAGCATTTTAGTCAAATTTAAGTGATGTTGAACACTGTTGAATACAATAAAAGCACAAAGAAAGTAGAGAGAAGCAAGAGTAGAAATCCAAACCTGGTTTGGTACCAGATGGTGTAATGCATGAGCTGAAGATTGAGCGTTTCTGTAACAAACCCAACAATTGATATGGGTTTCACTGTGTGTTTGTATCAATAGGGATATGCTTCTTGGACACTCTAGTTGCGAAGGTACTATACAGACGAAGCTTCTTTCCTTGTTTCGGTGTGCGTGTGAAAATAGCGACTGTTTCATTATTTGGGCTTTGTTTTGTTTACTGTTTCCTTTGGCGAAGTGGCTGTTGTTCATTGGATGCAAGTGAGATTATTGTTGTTGTGGCTCTTGTAGATTCCGAAGGAATGGTTGTTACACCAGGTTTTATACACACAACAGCCAGTCAAACTGGTTTGTTAGGCGGAGAACATTTGACCTTTCTCAATCCAAACATTTTAGGTAAATTACACTAAAACCTAAATACTTGACGCTTTCTATAAGTAGATTGATGATTGCTCTTCGCAATGCTTTTGAAAATTACGGTTTTGTGCATTAAAATAACGCAATTTTGATACATAATACAATTTCAAAGTGGGTCGTGTGGAGCCCCAAGCGAAACCCATGTGATAGTCTAGAAGATGCATAAAAGGTTGGAGAATATGCACAAATATTTTAAAATATTAAGAAGACAATATTAAATTTTATTCATGCAAATGAATACTACATCATTAAAAAAACACATCAATATAAATACAAAATTAATTCAATAAAATAAATTGAAAATAGTGGAGGTAACAATGAATCACATAATTTAAACAATACAAATAATCTCAATAATATAATATTAACTTTAATAAAGATTAAGATAAAATCATAATAATAAACTAAGAAATAAATAACTAGCCTACATAATGAGAGAGATGTCGTCACTCTCTTAAAGTTATATGGTCTTTTTACGTGTAAGTGATAGCAGATCAATACGACTCCAATATATAACCAATACTCACCGATGGTTTTCTCTAGACACGTCCGAAGAGAAACAAAGTGTATTAATTTTGTCATCAAAATTGTTTTAAACATTATATAAAATACTCTCAAATATCAATGGAAAATGAGATAAAAGAGAGTTTTAAAGGAACCGCAACGGTAGAACACTCATTTTTATATATTTACAACTCCTCAAGCCAATAACGCTATAGCACTCTAGCATGTCACATTACATAGAATGGTACAAGTTTTTTATATGTTTAAAACTTGTAACGGTTTTATATTATCAATATAGGATTAATAATAAAATAATAATAAAAATAAATAGAATCATAATAATACTTTAATAATATTTATAAAGTCCCCTCCAAGAGAAGGAGATCCACTTTGCTCATTAAGAGATTAATTAATTAAAGACAAACGAAACAACAATTGAGAGGTAATGTGAAGTGAGGTCGCAAGCTCTCGGTTTCTAATATGTATTATTCGTCGACGTTGAGTAGAAGTAAAAAACATTCTTGAATGGGTTATGGACCAAATCGAGGCTAAAAATATATTTTGACTTAAATAATGAAGATCTAGCGATATTATTAGAGCATGTATTTTACTACTTTGAATGTATTTCTTGCTTAGATAAATATAAAAAAATAATTAATGTATGTTTGGGTAATTATTCTACTTGTTTTGTTTTATTTGGCCAATCCAAGTATCACTTGCATTATTTATGCATTAACCAACCTCATCTAACAGTGACAGTGATACTTGGATTGGCAATAATGGATTAAAATTGATAACCACCCTCATCTAATAGTGACAGTGAAACTTGGATTGGCTCAATTATTAGTTACTATGGGCCATACAGGACCGTGAAGGTTCACAAAGGCCCACCTGAAACTAAACTTTTGACTAACAATATGGGCCAGAAAACGAACTGGACATTGGACTTTGTCCACAAATTATGACGTACACTACCATTTGGGTAGATCTTAGACAGACATCCTTATTGGACGCTGGCACAAATTACGATATAAACTCCACCACTTGGGTAGACCTTGGGCAGGCACCTTCGGTGGGATGAAAGTCACTAACCTAGACCATGGGCTTTCTTGATCGCCCATATGGACCACGTAACAAAACTTTGGACTGAACATTAGATAGGGGCCATGCCAACAAAAGCAACAAATTATGAGGTAGGTTCTTCCACCACTTGGATAGATTTTAGACGGACACCTCTTAAGTGGAATTGATGTCACCAACCTAGACCATAAACTTTCTTGATTACTCATATATCCTAGGTAAGTATGATGATCTCTTCGTCCGATGTGGGACACATGACTCAAACTATTAACACTGTGACTCTGTCAACAAGCCCTAATTCACTTCTTCTTCCAAGTTCCAACTCTGAGAAACTGAATTCATACAAGGTATTGAAAGCAACCAATTTCAGAAGTATACAAGGTATTGCTGTTTTATATTATCATCTGGTCTTGACCAGTCTTTGTTCTCATGAAGAAGTTAGAGGTGGTGTTAACTGATAGATTCCAGTACCGGAGATCAGTAAAAGCACTTTTGGAGTTTTGGCCTCGTAGAAACTGAATTGTGTAGCTAATTTGTTTCTCAGTCATTCTATGTCAAGCTAATAAATTCTCATTTTTGTGAGGCTTACTGGTAGTTTTACGCGCAATGCAAACCAATGGCTCTGCAACAGAAAGGAATGATCAGTGTCACAGTACCCATTTCAATATTTTGGATGGCAACCTGAACCCCATAACATCTTTATTTTGAATTTTTTTTTTTTTTTTTTTTTTTTTTTTTTTCAGTTGTTTAAAATCTAATGAACATTCTCTATCCATGTAATAGGAAGGTTCATGTACCTAAGTATTGTCTAGTGTTAATTAGCATCTCTCTTTATTTCTTCTTTGCCATTGGCCAGTAGGAGGTCCTGGAGGAGAAGGAATAGGGACACAAGAAATAAGTAAAGAACAGGGAGAATTGATCTTCTTTTGTTTAGTTGAATTGAGAAGGAAAAAAGTGAGGGAAAAGTGAAAAACTAAAAGCAAAGAGAAATAAAGAAAAAAAAAATAGAGATAAAAAGAAAATTAGAGATTTTACCAACCCAATATATATATATATATGTATATATATATATATATTTCAGAAATTGTTTTTCTTTTCTTTTATTTGGTTAGAGTAAAATGATCGATACTTACTGCAAGGTTACAAATCCAAACTGTTAGTATTGAGAATTGGATATAGGGGTGCATAAAATATCGGTGGAACTGTTAAGAACCGGAACCAGGTGCTTTGGACTAGGAACGGTTAAGAATCAAAATTGTACTAATAAATATATACATTATTTTTTAATTATATAATTACTAACATATGTGCCTATATTTAATGGAAAAAAAAATAATATATACATATATATATGCCTATATTTACCAACCATATATACATGTTTATTAATGCATGTTGTGGTCCAAGGTATTGCTAAAAAAAGGTAGGAATTGGAACCGAACCGAACCGAAACCGTGAAACTGGTTCATTCCGATGCTGGTTTCATGTTCCGATGGTTTCGATTTTGGTTCTAATTTTTAGTAACTGTTAAGAACAATTTCGGTTATGCCAAAAACAGTACCGAACTAAACAGTATGCACCCCTAATTGAATATAAATGCAGAACTAAGTTTAACTATTTTTTAAATGGTGAAATGCTTTGATACCCCCCTCATGTTTGATTTTATTGCTCATAAATTAAAGTTGTATAAAAATTATTTTGACACCTAACTTTTAGAGTTAACAGTAGTTTTTTAACCAAAAAAATATATAATTTTACAATTATTCCCCTTGTGATATTTAACTTCACACGTACATCATTGTTGACATGTGCAAAAGTGCATAACAATATTGAGGTTTAAAAACGGTAGGGATTTTTACATAAAAATGGGCTTAAGGCCCCATATTTACTCAATGACTGAGGTAAAGTTTGATAGTTTCAAAAAATTTAGTTTGACCCAAAAGTTGAGTTGGCACATGAAGATTCACTGTTTCATATTTGTGTTGACTAAAATACCCTTTTCAATATTGAGTACATTGACCTTATTGTCCTTTATTTCCTCATCCATTTTACCTTATTGCTCTTATTTTTTCTTAACCCAATTTAAGCTATTGGAGACCAATTTAACCCAATTTACTCGTCAGTTTAACAAACCAGCTGGGAGCCCTAACCTTAACATTCCATTCGTGCAGAGCCCACACCCTCACATAGTTTACTCTTGTCGTTGTACTTCTTATTGGTGGTCCATGTGCTTCTGTGAACTGAGCTTAGTAATTTGGTAAGTATTCTCTCTCTATCTCTCTATTTCTCTCTCTCTCTCTCTCTCACCCATTTTGGGTGGATCTCCCCCGATAAATTGGAGTTGCATATCCAAAGAAAATTGCGTGATCTATAAATTTTTTTTGGTAGAACGAATCTAGGGTTTGTATTTATATTGAAGGCTTTAAATAAGAATGGAATTAATTAATTGATTGTGTTTGAACTTTGAATGACGTAGTATTTTTTATTTTATTATTATTATTTTTTTTAAGCATGTTGAAGGCTTAATTGATTTTATATTGAAGGCTTTAGATGAGAATGGAATGAATTAATCAATTGTGTTTGAACTTTAAATGTTGTAGTATTTTTTTTTTTTTTTTTTTTTTTTTTTTTTTTTTTTTTTTGAGCATGCTAAAAATTGCATGTTCCATTGGGTTAAGTAATGTTTTATATTATTAATCCCATCATTTTTGGATGATCTTCCCATGAATTAATTAATGTACGGTGGCATGAAATTGGTGTAATCTGGGAATATTTAGTTCAAAATTGTTGATTTATAAAAAAATAATAATAATTATTATAATTTATTTATTTTTTGGGAACCATTAGCTTCATAACTTTTGTGTTTTAGTTGAATAATTACAGTTGATTTATTTCTTGTTTTTTTTGGATTACTGATGAATTAGAAAGTTATTGAATGTGTGAATTAATTGTTCTATTACAAGGCTATAAATACCGCATCAGTGATCTTTTACTTCACATGAATATTTGCAATCTAAAAACATTTTATATCAATTTTTTTATTTTATTTTATAGATGACCAAGAATACATCAAGCTTGCATTCAAGTTAGGAAATACTCTAGTTCATATAATTTTATGAAAGAAAATTTTAAATCCTTTTCATGGTCATTGGCAAACTGCAAACATAATTAAAAGATAAGGGTTATAATAACTGAGGAAAAGAAAGAACCAAAAACAAATCCGGGACAATAACTTAATTTCTTTTAGCAACAATGATATGACACAAACCTTGTAGCACTAG